TGACTATATTACTGGAAAATTGTCAAAATAGTCAAATGACTACTTTGAAGAGGCCTGGTATAGGACTGTTCAGTTGCGATTTTCGACGAAACTATGCAGCTTGTATTGCCGTTCGTCGTAGCTATATGTATTGCTGTGGAGGTGGTCTCGCGCTCTTCTGAGGGTTTTGCAACCTGTAGCAGCCTAAACGGACCATTCTGTCAAGGCTTTGGATCTAAGTTCCTTGTTGCCTCGCCGCACGAGATGCAAAATCTTGACGCGGAACAATCGGTGAGATTTTTTGCTTACATTACATTTCTGACTTGTCAGGGCCGTCAAATTTACCTGCTAACAGTATTTTTCCCCAATGCACATTACTGACTCATTTATTTGAATTTAAGGAGCTCGTTGCGGCGAAAAAGCTGAAGATTGAGAACGTTTTAAAGCAATACGAGCTGCAGAATGTGGAAAAAGCGGATAGTTTGGGCGACGAGAGTGATATAGAATATTTGAGGAAGATTCGATTGCTGCTGAAGGAGAACATGATGCTAACAGATGCGGAAAAAAAGACTGACAGCAAGGATTCAAAGGCTAGCGCGCTCGGGTCGGCCACGAACGCTGCGTTGGAGCTGCTTAGATTAATGAACGGAGACGAGCTCAAGGTACATCATATATATATTGTGTGTGTCGATACGATACCGGTACTGAACAGGTCTCTGTAGGATTTTTTTGAGATGGCTCTGAATGTGGTGCTAGAGACCGGGGAAGCGACGCTAAAGGAGATGTCGCCTCAGACAGTCGAGGGACTTCATACCACAGTTTACCAGCTCAAGGCTTTAAAAGATTACTCTACGTATCAGTTCCAGCAGCTTGACGAGCTGGAGCTACTATCTATCCGCCTTAAGTTCGTCATGGACCGTATTGTGGAGCTGCAGCAAGCGTTTGAAAATTTGGTGATCGCCGACAATGCCAAGGACCGACAGGTGGCTTTCGAGACCGCAGTATACCTATTTCAACTCGCTCAGGAAAATTCGATGTGAAACGAGTGTACCGGGGGATCAGGTCTGATAGGTACCTTCGTGTAGATTTACATATTTTTTGAGTATATGTAGCTTTTCATTTTGAAATAAAGAGATGGCAGGCTGCGGCGGGCGCGGCGGCTATCGAATATCAGATGGTGACTGGGCTTGTCCCAATCCTGGGTATACCATATGTGATTGCTTTCTATTGTATTCCCCTAATTTGGATACTTCTCACCGCCTAATCATCTATAGCTGCTCCAACGTCAACTTTGCCCGCCGAAATTCGTGCAATCGCTGTCAGACGCCACGACCTGAAGGCTTGTGCGGCGACAAGTCGAATGCGACACGTGAAAATGATTCACGAGGTCCGCCAGGGCTGTTTCAGCCTGGAGATTGGACGTGCAACACGTAAAGCTTCGAGATGAGGAGTGATATTGAAAAGGCATTCACAGACTTGCTGGTGTGCTCGTAATAGATGCGGAAACGTTAATTGGGAGCGACGGTCTGAGTGTAATATGTGTAAAAGCTCCAAGCCAGGGATGGTCGGACTGGTAGGGGCTGGTTGCCCTAGTAAATGCGAGGTTTAATAGGCTAAACGGCTTTGCTCTTCTTAGGACGAAAAGCGCGACGGTGCAGGTGGGGGCTTTAATGAGCGACAGGAAAGGTGAGGCTGTAAGCAGAATATTGAAGCGTTGTCAGTTTTTGGCTGATGCGGCGAGTGCCACGTGAAGGGTCGCGTCGGCCAAGACGGAGGTAGGAGAGGATGGTTACGATGATTTCGGCATAAGGAAGAAGGTGAGAACTGCGAAACTGAATGCGGTAAAACAACTTTGTAAACTGCTTGAGTTTTAGAAAGTGAAAGCATCCAAGGCTGAGCGTGAGGCCGCAGCGCTAGCACGTCTGCAGCAATCGTACGGGTGCGCTAAGACACTTGTTTAGCTACGTCACCACGACTTTGATCTAACGGTGCTGCTTTATTCCAGCGCAATTTACCAGCCACCTCAAAGTGCTATGGAATCCACAGCAATCTGTGTAACTCGAGATAAGGCACCACTCGTTGGCTCCCCTCTATCTCAGGACGACGTGAAGCTTCGACGCAGCCGATCGCCTGTGAGATTAACAAGCTCACTCAAATTGCGCAGTCGAAGTCGCGACCGACGACACCGTAGTCCAAGTCGGACAAAGAATGACCGAAGAGACCACAGCCCAGCAAATCATACCCGAAGACGTCATCATCGGAGTCGTAGCCGTGGTGGCAATTGCAGTCGCGATCGTGACCACGATCGACATGACAAACGCTACCGATAATATGCCACTTAGATCGAATTCTTGAAATTTATCAAACATTACCAGAATGTTTACTTTTTAAATGGACAACAACATAGGAACGCATACTGAGGACGTACTGAGTGAACGGCTATCATGGGGATGTCTACAACTTAGCTTTGAAGCGTTCCGCGTGCGCGATCCACAATTCCTTTCACAAAAACAGGAGCAACCTCGAAAAGATTTTTTAAGATAATGTCCGGAATGTTGAAGCTTTTAGCCCGCTCATCGGATTGTTTGTCGAGTTCGACCTTGACAGACCATAAGAGAAGGCAGCCCTGGCCAGTCGAGTCACTGTAATTCTTCAGTGATACCCTGTTATCAAACACAATCAGCCACTATACTTAGTAAAGAACAGTGTAAGAACTGCTCGTAATAATAGTAACGTACGCAGTGGTAGTGTTGCGGCGAAGCAAGTCGGTCGACTTGGGATGACTAGGATCGTCCAGTATAGACCGCATGACCATCGTCCAGCTGCCGTCCGGATGATCGCGCTTCTGATTAATTGTCAAACTCTCCTCCTTCATCATGCCACCGCCGACAGTTGCATCACTGGACATTGTGAGATTTACTACTCGCCGAATGTATTTTGTGTTCATATCAAGCTCCTCTAATATCTCGACAACGTCAGTGAATGCAAAGCTCTTTTCAAAGCTTGCGTCACCAAGGACCGACCAAAGGTCATTCATGATTGTGCTTGGATTACAGCCGTACAAATGGTGACGAAAGAAAATGCCCATTTCATTCTTGCCCATCTCGTATTGTACTTGCAAACCAAAATAGGTCATAGTGGATGTCGTTGGATTGCGAAATGCCGCCTCACAAGCTGTGAGCTGCTTGTCAATGTTTGACAAGGCCTCTGTGGCCATGGTAATTAGCCGATCACGAAAAGAACCCGACTGTAGCTGCAACACAGGAGATACCGAGGAGATCGAGTTGGATAACGCAGCTGGCGCGGTAGATGCCGAAGAAGAATTTAAAATCATGTCCAACGAAGGCATATTAAGGAGTGGTTGTTTCGTGAAGTAATCCTGTAGTCGTTGAATAAATCTCATCTGCTCCATTAGCGTCTTACGTAAAAATTCATTTTCTTGATCCACACGTGCACGAATCTCCGCGTGCTGCTCAGCCTCCTGCTTCCATCCAAGCTCTGTATTGTGTTCGGAGGGCTCTGATGACTGCAACACCTCGATCTGTTCCTTCAAATCCTTCACCTTGGCACGCAGTGCAATAAGTTCATCTTTTTGACGTTGTCTGTGCTTTCGAGCAGCCTTTGCAATCTGAGCTCGTCGTTTAGCCTTGGGATCGTCGTACTCCTCAGGCTGCTTGCGACCGTCCTCACCCGAATCAGCGTCAGCACTGGGCGCTTTTCGCTTCTTGGTGATAGTCTTTTTCCTTTCTGCGGAGGATACAGCTCCAACAGGCGTAGTGGAGGAACCAGCTGAGCACACAGGAGCAATCATTGAGGTGGGGGTGCCGGTTCCGCCAAGGCTCGGAAAAATGGGAGAGTTTGCGACCATAAGAGAGTTTATTCGGCCACCATGAATGGGCGCAAGGCCTTTAGTGCCGCCTGGCTGTAGGCCAGGCATTGAAAGCGGCATGCTTATGCCCATGGGGAGGCCCATCGTGTTGTTTCCGTTGGCGCCAACAAGTTGTGAAGGCGGCATCCCCAATACGTGGCCTCCACCAGCATTTTGCAGCGCCTGCGTAAGGCTTTGTGGTGTGGGCATTGCCGAGTTTGTGGAGCCAGCGTTGCGCGGGTTTGTTGCTTCCCGTAGCAAGTTGTGGAAGGCGTCCATGAATGTGCTGGCTACAGTGATTACGTGGTGTAGAGAGATGGTTTACGCAAACGCGAATTCTTAAGTGACGAATAACAAGCCAGTCGTCTTCTTTGAGGGTTGCGAAAGCATTTATATACAGAACCACAAGTATGTCTGTGCCAGCACGCAAGGATTGGTCAACATAAGCCTTTCGTAGAAGCGAGTAGCCAATTAAAAGTTTGGTTTTTTATTGATTGCGACATCATATAGTATTTTTAGTGTATGCTGCTTACAAAATATACACAATTTCGAAAAGAACGTTAGTGCAGATTAGATTTGTAATAGTTTGTCGACATTTCTCCATATGCAAATATCACGAAGATTGGCCACAATCAGGAAGCCAGTGTTAGTGCGATGATGGTACAAAAAGCCAAACTTGTAATGGAGATCAATAAATTTGGGTATGTGAAATGTATACGTAACTTTGTACGTACCGCACCTCTGTTCTAGATAAGATTATTGTTCCATAAACGATTCGCAAGGGTAGACATACCATAAGGTTTAGATAAACGTGTCTCCTCAGTACAGCGGACGAGAGAAGAAATGCGGGGTATCTGCAGATTGTACGAGCAGCACAAATGAGCCAAATTATATGAGGACACGTTAGCATGACAACAGTGATGATCGACGGTGATGGCAGATAGCAGGTGTACTGAAAGCTTGTACAGAACGCTGTATAGACAGGAAGACAATTTCCTAGAGATTTAGCCAAGAACACTTAACAAAAAAAAATATAAGACTACTAAAGATGATTTGTCATTATTGGAAACGCCGGAAAAAGTCATAGCATATGATGCCAGTTGATCGTATACATCCTGCAATTCATTGTAGTATATGTTGAAGCGTTGAGTAATGACAGGTATAACAAAACAATTAAGCCGTGATAACCTCAGGCCGCAAGTAGCATCAATATCTTTAAGTTTTTGTACCAGACTCAACTTTACTGAACGTACTTGTCATGCCATTAGTATTTGGCCATCGACATCACACGTGTGGCGGCTTCGTTATAACCAGCTTTCACCTCAACATTGAAGGATAACTAGGGAGAAGGTTAAAGAGGAGCACACTTAAGATGGAAGTAGCAATACTCTTAATGCAGTGCAAATTTGTAACTTAATGGACCACGAGAAAAAAATGTTTAGTTCGTGGAGATGCGACGTCAAAGCTCAAGTCACTCTCTTTATATTGGCAGCACACATTGTATCAAGCTATAGATGTTCTCACTTCGTGCTATAATGAATTCTTAGGAAGGTGAATGGTTGTGGCCTCAATCAAATCCAGACCAAATCCAACGCAACGCGTCAAATACAAATGGGTGTTTGACCTTCCAACGATTGCATATAGCTCCACATATTTGAGAGAAAATACAGCATATGGATTATTTCGGTACAAAATTGGGTAGAATGCGTTGGACAGATATTTAAACATCTAAAGTAAAATGTCATTCGACAGATTCCTCTTTACAACAGGGACTTGGGACTGAGAATCTGCGTTAAGAGGTTGATTTGTACGCTCCACTTGAGAGCGAATCGAAATTATCCTAATCAACCTAGTTATTCCAAGAGGTACATATACAAATTTAATTTAATATGACTGATACGCAATATACCATATCTTATAATGAGCGCTTTTTGTTACTGGACGTGTGGCCAGCAGCAACACAGACCTGTCCATTACGGCGTCTTATCATCTCCGATCTTCGATACGTTAAGTTACGTATCTGTACTAATACAATTTAACCAAAAGTGTAACGGGGTTACAGGTACCCTGAGTACAGGGGTGTGTGTCACACGAGATGAGCATGGTGTGACTGCACCCAAAGAAGAATACGGTACAGGGCTGGATAGCCAGTAGTTCTACATGTATTTAGATTTTACTACACATATTTAGGAATATCTATGCACTTAATATTAGGCGGCTTTGCCGCAGATTAAAATAAATAAA